ACGAGCGTTGGGACGAGTCGATCGCGCTGTCCAAGGCGGACAAGCTGTTCCGCGACGCCATCGAGACCGCCGCGGTGTCGGGCCAGGAGAGCGTCGCCGAGGAGTTGCTCGAGTACTTTGTCGAGATCGGCAACAAGGAGTGCTACGCCGCGACGCTGTTTGCGTGCTACGACCTGGTGCGTCCGGACGTTGTGATGGAGCTCTCGTGGCGACACGGCTTGGGCGACTTTACCATGCCGTACCAGCTGCAGAGCATGCGCGACCAGAGCGACAAGCTCAAGAAGCTCGAAAAGGAGGTGCGCGAGCGCGCCAAGAAGGACAGCGACAAGGAGAAGCAGGAGGAGGATGCGCCCATCATCGGTCCTGGTGGATTGGGCGGCCCCAAGCTCATCACTGCCGGTGTGACCGGCCTGGGCGGTGCTGGCGGGTATCCGAATAACCTCAATGGCGGCATGTACATGCAGCCCACTGGCATGTTCTGAGTCGACACCTCGACGACCTTTGTATATTTTCAACGCCCGGCCTTTTCAAGGAGCCACCACATTCCCCCCTGTTTTGTCGTTCAAGAAAGAAGAATCGTTTTCGTTCCATGGGAGCGTGTGAAGTGAGAGAGAGATGTCGTGTTTGGTGTGTTGCAGGAAGAGAGAGACAAAGCGTGTCAGAGGAACAAGGAGACGAGGGGGACGACGGTGATGAGACGTCTTTTTTACGTGTCGCTGGAGCTGCCCGGACCAAAGCAATACGAAACGGTTTGTCAGCGTTCTGGGCCAGATGGGGTCAAGCACGAGCACTTACAAATGGGAACGGATTGATGTTGCAAAGAGAAAGAAGAACGGCTCTAGACCGACTCGGCGTCGTGGCGCGTCGAGGAAACATCCGAAGAGGCACGAGACGAGGGAGCGACATCGCTCTCGAGATCGGCATCCCTCGCGACGGATAAAGCGTCGTCCTGCATCATCAAGGCCTCGCGTCGCTGGTCCCAGAGACACTTCTGTCGGTCGAAGCCTTCGTTGAGTCGTACACCTCCTTTGGAGTGGCGTCGTACTTTCGGATGGTGGACTGGGCGTCGAAGGCGATGCAATCCTCCACGCCGTTCCTCTTGCAGCGGATGACACCTGCGACGACGACGATGCTTCCGTCTTTGCACTCCTTCTCGAACCCCACGCCGGTGAACAGGGACGAGCCCTTCCTGATCACCATGTACGCCGACTGCTGGCGAGTGAAGTGAAGGAGGAGCTCGTCTTTGGTTGGACCACAGATGACAACGCCGAGAAAGTTCATCCGAGCCTTTCCACTGGTGGATCGGTCGAGGGACAGGAAGCTCGAGCGCGAGGTGAGCGTCCGCAAGGTCCTCTATTCGTTGCATTACAGTCTACGAGGAAGGGGCACTCACAGCGTCTCGACATCCGAGACAAGTTTGCTGCGCTGAGCTCCGACAACAAATGGCTCAAGTAACGCCATTGCTGATGAGCTCGTGTCCCTGACTCGGCAAGTGTGCCCTTCCTGCAACCAGAGATCGGTTGACGCTGTCAAACAGCAGACTGAACCGTGGGGCAAGGGGCCAGCAACCGTGTCCTGGAAGTCCGTCAATCTCCACTTCCAGACTCGCTCTCGCGAACCGGCTCAGGACGCGTACTTCGATGCATGTCGCGGCCGTCCTTGCTGGTCAGCCATGCTGCCACGAAAGTTGTGCTGGGGATACTGCGTCGACCGAGGCTGAAGACTTCAGCAAGCATCTCGAGATTCGTCAAAAAGCCATCCGTGGTCAGGTGGTTCTTGCAAGCAAGGATCGAGCCGACTTTGAGAGCTACTTCAGTATACCATCGTCCTGAGCTGGCAAGGGAAGATTGGTGGCGAACCGAGACTGGAGGTCGTCGAAAGATTGACGCAGGCGCTGCGACAAAGCTTCACCACGTGAGTTGAGCTGGTTTGGACCAGCATCGTTCTCGGCTTCGTGATGAATCTGCGGGGTGGAATCGCTCTCCGGGCACGAGGGTTCCAGTTCGTCCAAGAGAGTGTCGCACTGCCGCCAGTCTTCGTCGTCGTCCTCGTCTTCTGATCCGCTGTTTGTGACATCGGTCGCATCATCCCACTCGTCGCCGTTCCCCGCTTGCAGATCACTCCTGAGCCTCGAGATAGCTGCAGCTGGTCCGGATCCAATGAGAGCTCGGATGTCTTGCTGCTCGGCTGCATTGAGAGTGTGTCGGTCGAGCTCGTCCTCCATGAGTCTGCGACGCAGCCTCGTGAGGTAGTCCAAAGAAGCGACTTTCTCTTTTCGCAATCGCTCCAGCTCTTGTTGGTCCGTCGAGCCAGAGGACAGAGCATGCTTGTAAGCCTCATCGGTCGCTAAGACTGCGAGCCGATGTTTCTCTAAGACGCGCGAACTGTCGACTTGCTGAGATACGGCGAAATTGGTCGAAGGCTTGTGGTGCGAAAGCGAGCCAGGCGGCAGCTTTCGGAGCCCATGCTCCACGATGAGCGCCTTGTTCTCCCTGCCCTTCATCACGAGACCCTGGATGTCAATCGTGATGCGCCTCGAAATGTAATGACGCTCCATGCAGTATCCGGATGGATCGTGTCCGACGGCGAGCCTCTTCGTGCCGTCTGGGATGTCGGTGCGATCCATTGCGTTGAGCGTGAACCTGCGAAGCGCGTAAGTAGTATAGTCCAACAGACCTGCAGCTCTGGCGACCTTGCCAATTGAGTGGTAGGCGTTGCTGGTGGACAAAGGCTTGTCAGGTGAGACGTTCCAGATCGGGGCACTGCCCTCTGCGCGTGTGCATTCAAACTCCCGGAAGACGAACTTGTCCTTTGCTTCGGCGCGGATGGGAATGTGCAGAAAGTCGTTGTCTGCGAAGTAGGATGTGTCGGTGGCCTTCATGGCGGAAGCGATCGAGACGCCGGGTGGGAACACCTGATCAACTTCAGCCAGGTAGGCCAGCAACAGAACGGCGTCGAGACAAGCTTCGTCGCCATGGGAGTAGAGAGGCTGTTCGCGCCATTTGGGCGCTGATACTCGACTTCCCTTCAAATCTTTGAATCGAATGTCGCAATGCAGGCGAAAGAGGGGTCTGTTGGAGTTGAAGTCGCCTGTAGACTCGTCTTCGCCGTCAGACCAGAGAGAGATGTAGAATTTGAGAACGCCATAGCGCAGAGCAGAGCGTCCGACAGCCGTTTTGAACTTGCCATCGAGAATCTCGGACTGGCGCACCGCACAACAGACCATGATGAGCTGGATCAGAGCGATTTGTACCTGTTTGCGAGGGCAACGCAGCTCGAAGTTGTCGCCAAATACTCCGTCCTTGATGAAGGTCACGACGTTCGAAAAGGTGGCGATGGGTTTGTCTCGGATCATGGCGGTGGTGTTGGTCTGGATGTAGCCGATGCATTCCTTCACCACAGCTTTGTCGACCGCGACCTTTGTCATCTCCGAATATGCGTTCGTCACAAGAGCGAACTCTCGCATGGCGGTACTGATGCTCCTCTTGGTCTCGCCTGTCTTGCCATTGGGCTTGATGCGTCTCAGCACATATGCTGCCGCCATCTTCCAGAAGCCCTTATCCTCCGACAGATCATGCACAGGCGAGCGCTGGAGAAGCTGGTCGACGTTGAAAGGGGGGTTGTCGCCGTACCTCTTCTGCAGGTGCTTCGCAAGAAAGAGGCGTAAGAATTCTCGGCTATGAGCTTTTTTGACGGTCCATTGATGCGACATTTCTGGCTGGTGACTGCTTTCTCCCATCTCGTCGTACATCTCGTTGTACATGTCGTCGAGCTCGAGATACGCCTCGTTCGTCTCGAAGGTGTTTTCGAGTCGCCTTCTGCGCACCTCAAGCTCCTCCTGCGTCACCACACCGTTCGCCATCACGATATCCCGCGCCCGAGCAGGGCCAGTAAGTGTGTTGTTGCTTGAAGAGGACGCCATGTTGGGAAGGCATCGCTGGAGGTGGTGTCGTTGCAGATCTTGGGGCAGCGTCGATCCGTCTGTTGAGTGCATATATACCATCCAGAGCACGACTGAGCCACATCACCCTCTGGCTCCCCTCCCAACACAGTCGTCAAGCAGCAGTAGACCTGAGGCTCAGCTTTTAGCCACACTCAGCCAGGCAGAAAAGGAGCCACAGATTGCATTGCTGATTCAGAATCGGATGCTCCCGAACGGTCAGAGGCGCTGCGAGAGCGACTTTTCAGAACCGTCGCGGGGGAAGCGATGCTGCTCAAGTCACGCTCGAGTGGCGACGATGCGCTCGAGCCCCTCTAACTCGGCCCTCTGCCCTTTTGCGCATTTTTTTGCCAACCTCTCAGCATCACACGCGTGGGAAGAAAAGTGAATATCACTGAGCAGTTGTGATGATGAGAAAAAAAAAATCCCGCTCAGTCGGATTCTCTGAGCTTTCTTCGGCTGCTCCGAAGAACTTGTTCACACGCTCAAGGTTTGCGACCACCGCGCAGTTACTTTCACTTCTTCGCTGCACCGGTGCCTGTGATGTGAATTCGAGAAGAGTGTGCCTTCGCATGTGCTGCCCAACCGAGTTTTTTGAGTAAGTTAGCTGCCCGTCTCGCCTCGCCACGCAGAAGCACCGCGTCGGATGGGATTCGGAAGGTAATGCATATCGACAACAGTGCGGGCGGATTCTGAGCGTGCATGAACCATCCAGGCAGACCGAGCTGGCTGGTCCCGAGTGGCAATTTATGACAACGCGAGATGCATCACGCCGAAAAGACAGGGCAGAACTTCGCTATCGGACCGTCCGTTCTCCACGCTTCGCTCACCGCTGATCGAAAGTGAGCTGCCATGAAGAAGAGGGCCAGCGGTGAAAGATCTCGCCAATCCATATTCTGCGTCAAGCACGGCATCGAGCCTAGGACATTCTTGACCGACCTGGTGCTCGATGTGTCGAACGACGAGATCATGCTGTTAGTTCATGCGATACGCTTTGTTTTTTTTTTTTCGGTTGGGGGCCGGCGTGGGAGGCACAGGGATAAAAGGGGGAAAAAATAAGTTCCCAGCCGGGGAATCGAACCCCGATCTCAGCAGCTCTAATTATATCTTGTTGACGCAATGAAAGTGCCGTATCTTAGACCGTTAGACGAACTAGGACTGCTACACGAACGATTGCACGTTCATGTCTTGCTTGCAGGCTCTCGTACTCCACCCCGTTATAAGCACTACATTATGATCTTATGATGAGAATGTTCTCACTCGGTTCATTTCAAACGCGCCAAGTTGACCCCGCGATCCGACTCGCAAAAGACTTGGACACGCAGCGTAGCTAATAACGCACTGCAGCCTGACCGATGGTCGCCACAAAGCCGTATCAACGTGTCGTCAGCTTTGCAGGACAGCAGCTTGTTGTGGGTTTGGTGCGAGATCGAGGACAGGTCGGAGAATTAGCCGAGGAGGTTGGTGTGGAGTAATCCGGATGGATTGCCGTCGCTTAACCCCGTCGGCGGAGTGCTGCTGACACTGTCTCGCACAGAGCTCCCTTGATCCATGCTGGAAAGGTCATCCATATAATCCTTGTGACCATCGAAGCATAATCGAGCCGCTTTCCAGCAAAGCCCCTACAATCCTTGCTGCTTCGTAACCATGACCACCGCACCCGTCGCCGGCGTGTACCGCAACACGCTGCTCCAAGCCGTCTACTTTGGCCCTGGTTCTGTCGCCACCTCTCTTGCCGCTGCGATCGAGACGCTGAACCTCAAGAACAAGAAGGCCTTCGTCCTCACGGGCAAGTCGCTGGCTACCAAGACCAAGGTCATCGAACGCGTCCAGGAGATCCTCTCGTCAAAGGGCTACTACAGTGGCGAGACGTTCTACGACATTGGCGAGCATGCGCCTGTCGCAGGCATCCGCGAGGCCGTGGAACGCATCAAGCGCTCCAACGCCGATGTGATTATCGCTGTGGGTGGTGGATCGCCCATCGATGCGGCCAAGGCCGTGTCCTTCTACCGTCATCAGGAGGAGCACGGAGAGGAGAGCGCTCGCAACCCGTTGACGCATCCGGACCTGTTCATCCCCACGATTGCCGTGCCCACGACGCTGTCCGTGGCGGAGACGACGCAGAACGCGGGCTTTAAGTCGGAAGAAGGCCACAAGATCGGCGTCTCGTCCAAGAACCTCGTGCCGCGCGCCATCGTTTACGACGCCGAACTGACGCTCGACACGCCGGAACGACTGTGGCTCTCGACCGGTGTCCGTGCTCTCGACCATGCGGTGGAGTACGTCTATCGACCGGACACGCACCCGTTGCTTCTTCCCAGTGTCCAGTCGTCGCTTCGAGAACTCTTCACGTACTTGCCGCTGTCCAAGAAAGACCCCAAGAACGTGCAGGTGAGGCAGAAGCTCCAGCTGGCTTGCTTCAACTCGCTGTGGCCCGAAGCGAGGATGGGTGCGCTCGGCCTGTCGCACGGACTGGGCCACAAGTTCGGCGCCACATACAGCATCTCTCACGGCATCACGAGCTGCCTCACGCTGGCTCCTTCCATTCGCTTCGTCGCCAACTGGAAGGACACACCGCTGCTGCACCTCCAGAACCTGGCAGATACGCTCACTTTCATCCCTGCGCCTTACAACCCTTCGCCCGCCCCGCTGGGCGCACCCGTGGGTGCCAGTGGGACGGAACCGTCGCAGGACGAGATCAAGGCGCTGCGTGAGAAGGCGTGCTTGGTCGGCGACGCGGTGCAAAAGCTCGTGGATGATCTGGGCCTTCACTCGACGCTCAAGGGGTGTGGTGTGGGTCCAGAGCAGACCGAGATTGTGGCGACCAAGGTGACGGGAGAGGACAAGAAGGGAAGCGAGTTCTGGCAGGGTATCAAAGGAGTCCTGGACAGTGTCTACGAGTGACTGCCTCGAGAGCGGCTGTGAAGGCAAGGCGTTCAAATGGAAAGTTTCACGGATGGTATCGGACTCGCAATTCAAGTTGGTTGCAGAAGTGATTCCCAGTGTGCGTCTGCAATCATCACCTGTTTCCAACGTGAGCCTTTCGATCTTCCGCTCAGCTGCAATCTTCGATGGCCGTCAGTCGTCGAGATCCATTCCGTCGTCTGCGCTCTTGTTGGCTTGTGACTTGCGCGAGCGCAGCGATTTGAGCCTTTCCTCTTTGGCATCCTCCGCTTTGCTGTCGATCGAGATGCCCGATTTGGCTCCTGCCTGAGTCTCTTCCTGCAGCGTCGCCACTGGAGGTCTGTCGTCGTCTTCGTCGCCATCGCTTTCGTCCGCACGCAGCTTGAGCCGACTTCCCCTCTCGGTTCTGCTCGGCTTGGACGGCGTTGTGTCGACCGCTGGGCTCGAACCTTGATCCGACAACCTCGCGCGGATGCCCGCAGCGCCGGCGGTGTTGCTGTTGAACGGCGAGCTGACGGGGACGGAGCTGGGACGACGAGAGTTGAAATGACCGCAGTGCGGGCAGATGTACTGCACCTCGTTGAACTCTTCCTTGAGGGCTAGACCATTGTGGGCGTGGCAGCGAGCGCAGATCAGGGCGTACTTTTGCTCTGGGCCAGTTGCGGACGGGTCGGCGCCGAGGATGGCGTCGGCGAGCTTGTCCAGCCAGGTCTTTTGCATGGGCAGCATGGGTGCGGCGGGCAAGGGTCGAGGTGGTTGCAAGACGTTGCCTTGTTGTCGCATGAGCGCCATACGCTGTGCTTGGAGCGCTTGAGCTTCCGGCGTGGTCGGTGCGGGTGCGGCGGCTCCAGCAGGTGCAGCGCCAGGACGTTGAGGAGTGGAAGTGACGCTGCTGGTGGACGCGGGAGAAGAGGAGGAGGCATCTTTGGAAGAGGGAGAGCCTGCCTTGGAGCCTGCCTTTCCCTTTTGCGGCGTTGAAGCAGAGGGAGGGAGGCCGCCCTTGGGTCCAGTTTCGTCGTACTTTTCGAGCAGCATGCGGAGATGGTCGTACTTGGTGGCCCGCTTGATCTCGTCGATCTTTTCGCGCTTCTGCCTCTTGAGATCGATCAGGTGCTTCTCTTCCGCAGCACCGATCCTCCTATACCACCATCGGACGATCCTCCTCGTCGAGATGATGAGCACGGGGCTGCCTACGACCGGCACCCAGACACCCAACATCTTGGTGGTCTTCCATCCTGCATCGGGATCGTAATGGCGTGCGCTGCGCAGCGAGAGAAGCCCAAAGAACCAGCATACGAAGGTGTAGATGGCCCAGAGCAGGAAAGCTTGCAGTGTGAGTGTCACGGAAGCTCGTCGCTCGCGGATGCGGATCTGGGTGAGGCGGGACTGGACATCTTGGATCTCGCCTTCGAGCTGAGAGAGCACGGTTTCGTAGTCGGTCTCGCGGTTGCCGCGCTTCCACGGCAAGAAGGAGCCGCTGACTAGCGCGTTGAAGACGCCCATTGCGCTGCGCTCCTTTCAAAGGGTGCTGTCTCCGTTGGAAGCAAGGTGAGACGGGATGATGGACGTGCACTGGATGACGGTGGTCCCTGCGTTGAAGACTCGAGAATGAGCCCTTTTTGTCGTGTGCGTGCGTGAGTGAGTGACGCAACTCAAATTTCGACGAAAATTTCCACGTTGCCTCACGCTGGCCACATTGCGCACACTCTCAACGACCAACAGACGATACGATCCTCCGCACACCAAAGCCGACTCAGCAGCCAACTCAGCAGCTCAGCACCGATCCACGGACAGACACCTGCTTGCGCACTGCTTGCGCACTGCTTGCGCGCTGCTTGCGCAGTCGAGGAAGAAAAGAGACAAATACTATCAGATTGCCGCGGCAAATCGAGTAGAGAGGTATACAAGGCGCTCAAGCGTCAAAGACCAGCCGCGCCGATGAGAGCAACGAGGGACTGAGCCGATGAGCGATGCGAAATAGAGGCAACATTACGAGACAAGACAACGACAAGGACACGATCGGATCGACTAATGGTACATCTTCGCACAAAGGAAGCAAACGACGGCAGCAGCGCGAGACCCTGCTACACCGTCAAAGGCAAAGGCAATGTGGAGAGATCCGATTAGGATCGCTCGCCACGGAGACGGCGAGCAAGGGCAATGTCCTTGGGCTGGATGGTGACACGCTTGGCGTGGATGGCAGCCAGGTTGGTGTCCTCGAAGAGCGAGACGAGGTAAGCCTCGGCGGCCTCCTGGAGAGCGCCGATGGCGGACGACTGGAAGCGGAGGTCGGTCTTGAAGTCCTGGGCGATCTCACGGACGAGACGCTGGAAGGGGAGCTTGCGGATGAGGAGCTCGGTCGACTTCTGGTAGCGACGGATCTCACGAAGAGCGACGGTACCGGGCTTGTAACGGTGGGGCTTCTTGACACCGCCGGCGGCGGGGGCCGATTTACGGGCGGCCTTGGTGGCGAGCTGCTTACGGGGAGCCTTACCACCGGTGGACTTTCGGGCTGTCTGCTTGGTGCGAGCCATCTTGCTGTTGGGTGGTGATGACGGTGATCACGTCGAGTGAAGGCGGGTGGTGATGTTGATGGTGATGGTGATAGTGATGGATGAGTACGGGGTCGTGGTGGTGGTGGTGAGGAGAAGGAGAAGAGTCGAGTTGCGAAAGTGCGGAAGAGAAAACAGGGTCAAAGCCATGCGGGAATGCAGATGCGCAGTCGGGAAAAATTTTCGGATCCGAAAATGAAGCGAGGCGCAGTGACACCATCAGAGGAGCGATGACCAAGACGATACGAGAGAGGCGGTGACGGTGGCGGTGACGGTGGCGGTGACGACGAAAATGAGGCACGAGAGCAGAGGAAGGGAAGCGAAGAGGCCAAGGAGAGGATTGGGCGGGCACGGGAGCAGTACGGGAAATTCGAGAGAAAATAGAAAGTGGAAACGCGCGGGCCGAGGCGAGTGAGAGGAGAGAGGCAGGAGAGAGGCGAGCGGATGGAAGAGGAAATCGCCACATCAGAGAGGCAGCGCAGCGAAACAGAGCCAAGATCAAAACAAGACATCGTCGCAGCACCACATCAGCATGTCGAATCAGAGCAGTCAGGAAGGAGAGAGAGAGAGAGGAGGGAAGGACAACGTTCAAGTCAGCAGCCTGGTCTAGCACGAATCGACGGATCTGGACATGATGCGCATGGAGCGATCAAGGCGATGTGAAGATGGTGGCAGTACATACGTTGAGTTTCGCTTGAGGTG